CTTTTCTGTGCGGACTGTTGAGTACTACAAGTGTACCAAATTTCATAACTGTACGATAAACTAAGCTTTATGGAGAGGTATTTTTTTCACTTTCTAGGGGGCGCTGTTCAGCCATTTTCTTTGCGATTTTTTTGGGACCTTTAAAATATCAAATTTTTCACCAGGCCTGATGAGTGTGCAAAATATTGTGAGTTTTGGGGTATGTTAAGGTCCCCAAAAAGCCATTCAAAGCGGCACCGGAATAATAAATTAAAGCTGCAAGCAGCGTCGTTCGGCCCTCGCAGCTCCGCGCCGCTGCAGCCTGGCCAGCAGCCCGAGGCACCAGGGCACGTCTGGCAGAAGAGAAACGTCAACCACCCGGACACTAGAAACCGCTAATGGCCTCCTAGTCCGCACCTCACCCTGACTCAGCATCCCCTCTGAGCTCACCATTAAATTGAATTGTAAGGATACGGCGTTACGCCAGAATTCGCCATGGCATCAAAGCCCCTCCCTTTCTGGAAAGCTATCAGATCTGAATGGTCAATACAGCATCATGAAGACAGTGCATGACCTTGGTGTCATGTTGACTAAATTAGAGGGGACAAATATGGGCATTTCAGCATAGAAAAAAGACTTCCTGTAGTCAGGGGGCGGGGCTTAGGTGATGTCAGCTGTCCACATTGTCATTTTTTACAGATATGGTCAAGGATCACACAGACAAAGTTCGAAAAAGATCTGATCATGCACATGGGAGTTATTAAGTCAAGTAAAGTAATGGCGAAAGGTCAAAGTTTGAGGCTTAGCCACGCCCACACCTTTCAACTTTTGAAAAATCCGACGGTTGAATTTTTTCCCCTACGTCTTAAGAGTATATAGTAGAAGTTTGAAATGGATTGGTGAAAAGGGCGACGGAGCATCACTCTCCAAACAACGTGTGCGAAAACCACTAAATTGCGTACTTGGACCAAAATGGCCGACTTCCTGTGCGACTTTGCCCTTGGCTCCAAGAGACTTTTTTGTAGGTCCTGAGACACCACATTAGTGTACCAAATTTCGTAATCCTCAGTCAAAGCATGGCTTGGGGCTGACAGTTTTAATGGTCCTAGGGGGCGCTATTTCAGAAAATTGGCCACGCCCACAAATTTTAGCTGTCCATTTCTATTGGGGGTCAGACTAGGATCACTCACAACAAATTTCGAGGTGATATCTCGATAACTTAAGAAATGAGAGGCAAACGTATTTCCATGGCGTGATGGCGATTTTCACCATGCTCCCAAAGACCCGCCTTTCTTCAAAACCTGCCAGTACTGGAGACAAAGTAACCTCAAGTTGTCTACTGCTGTTTGCCACAGAATCCTGGTGTTTGGGTAAAAGGAGTCCAGTAGGGAGCTGTGAAAAAAAGAGTGGCATGGCGACAGGTCAAAGTTTGAGGCTTAGCCACGCCCACACCTTTCAACTTTTGAAAAATCAGACGGTTGGATTTTTTCCCCTATGTCTTAAGAGTATATAGCAGAAGTTTGAAGGAGATTGGTGAAAAGGGCGACGGAGCATCACTCTCCAAACAACGTGTGCGAAAACCACTAAATCGCGCACTTGGACCAAAATGGCCGACTTCCTGTGCGACTTTGCACTTGGCTCCAAGAGACTTTTTTGTAGGTCCTGAGATACCACATTAGTGTACCAAATTTCGTAAACCTCAGTCAAAGCATGGCTTGGGGCTGACAGTTTTAATGGTCCTAGGGGGCGCTATTTCAGAAAATAGGCCACGCCCACCGGATGTTCACATCAGATCTTTTGGGGGGCCGGACTAGGATCACTCACAAGAAGTTTCGTGACGATATTTTTAGAAATGACGAAATGGGAGGCAAACGTAAGGCCACGGCGGTACGCCTGACTTCGCCGCGCTGCCACAGCCCCGCCCTCTGTCGAAAACTCCCATAAAGTGACGCCAAGCAACCCCCACTTGTTCTGAGTTAACAGCTACAAATTTGTGGGGATTGAGTGAAATGGGGCCATTTGGGACCTTTCATAGTTAAACTTGACCTTTTTGGTCCTGAGGGGGCGGGGCTTATGTGATGTCATCATCCGACCATTCATTTTACTTTGTGGGTGGATGACGAATGACCACAGAAAGTTTGGTAACTCTATTCCATTCAATTATGAAGTTATAGCAGTTTATATTTTTTTGGCGAGTAGTCAAACTTCGAGGCCTGGCCCCGCCCCTTCAACATATACGAAAACTCAGAATCCTTGTCTCATTTTGTTCGCCCATCCCTTCTGAGCAATTTTACACAAGTTTTGAGACGATCGTGCGAAAAATGATCGAGCAATCCAATCAGAAACGGACCCTAAAAACGGCAAAAACGGCTAAAAATCGCCATTTCAACCCAAAATGGCCGACTTCCTGTTTGATATTGACCATGCCTGCAAGAGACTTTTCTGTGCGGACTGTTGAGTACTACAAGTGTACCAAATTTCATAACTGTACGACAAACTAAGCTTTATGGAGAGGGTTTTTTTTTTTTCACTTTCTAGGGGGCGCTGTTCAGCCATTTTCTTTGCGATTTTTTTGGGACCTTTAAAATATCAAATTTTTCACCAGGCCTGACAAGTGTGCAAAATATTGTGAGTTTTGGGGTATGATAAGGTCCCCAAAAAGCCGTTCAAAGCGGGCTAAGAATAATAAATAATAAACAGAGCAAAAACAAGAGGCCTTCGCAGCGCTTTCGCTGCTCGGGCCTAATAAACAGAGCAAAAACAAGAGGCCTTCGCAGCGCTTTCGCTGCTCGGGCCTAATAAACAGAGCAAAAACAAGAGGCCTTCGCAGCGCTTTCGCTGCTCGGGCCTAATAAAAAGAAAGAATAAACGGAGCAAAAACAAGAGGCCTTCGCAGCGCTTTCGCTGCTCGGGCCTAACAACTTTTTTCCAAAGGACAAGTTGTCTTGTTCACAGATATTGTTCAGCATTGACCGTGGCTTTGGGTTTATTTATAACTGGTCAGGTAATCTAGCTTAGCCTCTGGAAACATCGCCGATTCACCGACTAGAAAAGCTTTTGTCCTCAAACAAGCTCCAGTCCAAAAAGGTTTACAGCTTTTTAGATTTGGTTTTCTTACGCAGGAAATATTGTCAGTTACCAAAATATTTCAGGCATAGAGTGACATTTTGGAGAATGAATCTGGATATTTACTCTGGGTGGTGTTTACCAATCCCCTCCATCCTGGCATCAACTGTCATAAGTGAATGGGATCGGTGTAGAGATGGGCGATGTGGCCTAAAATAAATATCACAATATATTGAGGAGTTCACGCCGATAACGATAAATGGACGATAACTACAGTTATGCGCGAAATCTATCATTGTCCACTAGATGGGGCTGTCACATGTATTATGTTGAGTCACGTTGTCATGTGACTCGAGGTGGTACAGCTTCTTAAAGGGACTTGAACGTCTCCAACCACCACGAATCTGTTCTTTTTTTTTTATTATCAAATTTATTAAAAGCAAAACCTTTTGAGCGTCATCTGCTCACTAATCAGTGCTCGGCGGCCAGTGAACAATCACAGTTGAAAGATAAGGAGGATGGCTGGAGCACTCAAAGTGAGAAAAACGTTTTGATAGATGCGAAAGAGATACTAACGTTTCATCAGAGTAAAAGTAACATCAGAGTAAATTATTGTATTTATTGTCACGGAAAACGTTACATTGGTTAGAGTCAGAAATTTTGATAGCGATACATTTTCGATTCAGCCCTAGATCAGCAATTTTTTAGTGTTGTATTCCATATAAAAGTTAAAGTTTCAATGATAGCTGTCAGTCAGTCAATCAATCAATCAATCAAAGCTTTATTTATAAAGCGCCTTCCGCAACCCTGTCAGGAAGCCCAAAGCGCTGAACATGGTACAGTTGTAAGTAAATATGTTGAATAAATCAACAATAAAAGAAATTCAAATTACAAAATACAAAATGGAAATTATAAGATAGATGAAACATTCTGGTAAAGGACAAATGTGTGAAACACATTTGGATTGAGTGGATGGATTGAGTGTCCCAATGAAAACTGTGGAATGGATTCAACATAAAAGAGGGCCAAAATCAAAGATGTTCTGGAAACGCCAAGTGGAGGAGGTGTGTTTTTAGGTGATTCTTAAAGACTGGCAGAGAAGGGGACAGCCTAACTGAGGGTGGCAACTGGTTCCAGAGTAACGGTGCTAGGACTGAGAAAGCCCGGTCCCCACGGGTACGACACCTAGACCGAGGGACAGCGAGCAGGCCTTGATCAGAGGAGTGCAGAGCACGTGATGGGGAATGTCTGTTCAGGAGAGTGGCTAGATAGGGGGGAGCACCACCCTGGAAGAAATGATAAACAAAGACGAGTATTTTGAATTGTGAGCGATAGCAAATCGGAAGCCAGTGCAGGGAGGCCAGAACTGGGCTAATGTGGTCCCGTTTCCTGGTCCCAGTCAGGAACCTGGCAGCGCTGTTCTGCACAACCTGTAGGCGACGCAGTGATGACTGACACAACCCTGCGTAGAGAGAGTTGCAGTAGTCAAGCCGAGAAATTACAAAGGCATGCAGTACCCGCTCCAGGTGGGCTCTCGACAGCATATGCTTGATTTTAGCAAGGCGTCTCAGGTGAAAGAAACTGGACCGGATCACAGAATTGATGTGAGCATCAAATTTAAGTCCTACATCAAGTTTCACCCCCAAACTGGTAACAACTGGTTTTGAGTACGGAGAAAGAGGGCCAAGATCAGCATAACGATCCACATCATTAACATTAACATTATCCACATCATCACAGTCATTAACGGGATTTTGTTTTATCTATGAAACATCTTGTTTAAATTTGAACATTAGGTATAATTTACCTAGCAACAAATGTCGTAATTCAAATTACACAGAAAAAGACCAAGACATTTTTTGATGACTAGGGTGAGTCATATTTCTCTCTTAAAATGTGATACGTTTTATAATTTATTTATTATTTTACTTAGCTGTTAATCGTATTTCTTCCAGGTGTGCTGAAGGACTACCTGCGTGAGCTGCCCTACCCTCTGATCAACAAGCCTCTGTATGAAGCCGTGCTGGATACCATGGCCACCAGACCTCTCAAGATGGGAGGAGCTGGGTGCGAGAACGATCAGACGGACTCAGAGTACACTGTCAGCCTGCTGGAGATCCTGCCGGAGGTGGAGAGGGTAGGGGAAATTTAAATCTTTGGCGCCTCTCCTCGTGGAGAGGGGATGTAGATGTTTACTCTAGGTGATAACGGTGGCGTCTGCAGAACTCTGACGATGACCGTTAGACTGAGGTCTGTTGGTTCTGCAGCCTAAAACCTACCTACCTTTTAAGGCAAAAATATCTCTTTATTCATTCATTCATTATGAGGTTAATTATTTCTCATTTTCAATAACATCTTTGGCACATCAGTTTGATGAAGTTCTGTCACTCCTCTGCTGCTGCTGCAGCTACTAATCATTATAATCTTATTTTCCGTGTGTGTGTGTGTGTGTGTGTGTGTGTGTGTGTGTGTGTGTGTGTGTGTGTGTGTGTGTGTGTGTGTGTGTGTGTGTGTGTGTGTGTGTGTGTGTGTGTGTGTGTGTGTGTGTGGATCAGATGACTCTGCGGAAGCTTCTTGACCACCTGAAGCTTGTGGCCTCCTACCAGGAACTGAACAAGATGACGTGTCAGAACCTGGCAGTGTGTTTCGGCCCAGTTCTGCTCAGCCAGCGTCAGGAAGCGTCTTGCCACACCAACCGAGTCTTCATCGACTCAGAGGAGCTGGCGAGCGCGCTGCACTTCAAAAAGCACATCGAAGTCCTGCACTACCTCCTGCAGCTCTGGCCAGGTAAATATCCTGTTTGTTTGTTTTTTTCTTTCTAAATGTTCTGGGCCGTGCACCTCTTAATTAAGTTGTAGTTCAACAAATCCCGCCCAGCTCCCTGGTTCTGATCTACAAAGGCCCGCTGTATGGGGGCGGGGCTTGCTTTGATCCTGGAGGCTGCAGACTGGCACGGGTGTGGCTGATAGCCACTCACCACCATCTGTTGGCTCCTCAGAGATGAAACTGTCCACAAGTGCTTCCTCACAGTGGGCAGAACCAATCAGAGCCAAGCCAGTAAGCCCAGTTTAAGAGGCGTAGCCCTCCACGTCCTTTTAAAGAAACATTTATTAAGGAGAGATCATCGGTACCAGCTTCTTTCTGAGCAGATCACGTGTCTGCCTGGACAGCTGGTTGATCCAGCTGCAGCTGTCTGCGCAGTCTGACATATGCGGGAACCTGCGGGTTATTTCCAACATCAATCAGAAGTGATGATCAAAGCTAAAATCAGTTTAATAACCGTGTTGTTAAAGAAAAGTATGTTTTTATTCTATCTTATTTATAATTTCGCGACAAGTTAAGGAATACTTCATTTGATACATTTTGTATCTTTTGGACATTTGTACAGAATCACGGATAGAAAAATCACAAAGATCAATAAAAACAAAAATATCCTAAAAGATAACTAAAAACACAAAAAAATTAAGTAAAAGCAGATCTAAATAAAAAGGTCAACTTCAACATAAAATAAAGGAAATTCATTATAAAGTCGAGGTGCAACAGCCTGGAAAGAGCAATCTCCAGGACTCTGGAACATCTAGAAGATTCTGGTTTGTGGACCTGAGGGCTCGGGCTGGAGCACAAGGCTTCAACAGTTCAGTAATATAACATTACCTATATTTGTATATTTTGGCAACTGCAATGGGGGATTAAGGAAAGCACGTGCCAAAGAAAATCAGGGAAGTATGTTTATGAGAGATTACGAACCGATGATGCAATTACTGCAAATAATTGGTTTGTAGAACTCAGAACCCTTAAAGGAGCAATACAGCTGAATATCATCTGCATATAAGTGATGGGAGACATTATGACATGAGTTTATTATCTGCCGAAGAGTGTGTATATACAGGTGCTGGTCATACAATTAGAATATCATTGCAAAGTTGATTTATTTCAGTAATTCCATTCAAAAAGTGAAATTTGTACATTAAATTAATTCGTTACACACAGGCCCTGTCCACACGTAGCCGGGGATCTGCCAAAACATAGATATTTTTCTACGTTTTGGCCTGTCATCCACACGAAAACTGAGTTTTTTCACACGAAAACGGATCTTTTTAAAAACTCCGGCCAAAGTGAAGATCTGCGTTTTCTCCGTTTTGGGTGTCTGCGTGTGGACGGACAAAACCTGAGTTTTAAGGTCCGCAACGTCCCTTTCCGCGACAAAAAATGCTGACATCACGTGTGCGACCTGTGTTTACACTAGCCGGCATCATGGATGCCCTCAGAGCTGCGCTCTGTCACTACCCGTCCATCAATTGTCCAAGCGCTTTTTGCTCGTTTGTTTTTGCAAGCGGAATTACTGCTCCTTGCGGAAGACCACAGACGAAGGACGAGGTTAAGAACGGGGGAAGTACTGCCGCCTACAGGTCTGGCATGTCCTTAACAACGTATTTATCCGGGTACGTGTGGACAGAGTTTGTTTTTAAAACGCGGTGGTGTGGATGCAAGTTTTTGGAGGGGCGGATATTCGTTTTCAAAAAACCCCGGCTACTTGTGGACTAGGCCACAGACTGAATTTATTTCAAATGAGAGAAAGAAAACAATCTTTTATACAGCGCCTCTCAAGATAAAAAATCACGAGGTGCTTCACAAAAAATAAATTAGAATATGAAAAATATTTCAAAAAATTATTAAAAATATGTTTTAAACATTTTTATAGTCGGTAGTGAACAAAATGTGGCAAACATCAGAGGGCTGAGTCTAGAAAAACCTGGAAAAAGGCAAGGCAGCTTTATTTAGAGCACATTTCAAACAGAGGCAATTCAATGTGCTTTACAATTAGCAGGACATGATATGAAATAAATTGCTATTAACCATTTAATGGCTTTAATAACCAGTTAAGCACATTTTGGAAAGTGTGCATCCCTACCTTAAACAGACTGACAGCATTTTTTAAATGCATGTAAACGTGTTATTCTGACTGAAGACAAACTGGTTCCAATCGAGGTGAAGTAACCAGATAATGCAGTTGGTATCTGACATCAAACAGTGCAGTATACACCAAATAAGTCCATGGGTGTTTCTCAATGTCAAGATGCCTGGCCTCGCAAGGCGATGTCTTGCGAGGCCAGGCGCCTTGCTTACGAGGACGCTGTCCTTTCTCGGTCAAAGAAAACAGTTAAATGGAACAGACTTGCATCACGTGACCACGTGGTCACGTAACGCCACCTGACACGGGAGATAACGTTATATTTTATACGTATAAGTTTCAATATAAATATATAACGAGACTTTTACTTTTTAAATTGTGTATATGTTTATTAAATTAAAAATGTAAGTGAGTTACTACCCACTAGCCACCGAAGCTGCAACTACTAAGCAACTAACCAACAATAGATAACTTATTTGGATCTTTTAAAAAAAACATTTTAAATTAGCTGTCTTACTTTTAAACTTGAAATTTGCCCCCGAAGTAGCTGCCGGCTTTTGATCCACCGTCCTTTTGAAAATACCGCGGTGTGTTCTCGGTAATTTTTGAGCAAGGCTAGGTTACAGGACACCTCCTGTGTATCCTTGCTCAGCTAGCTAAATGGCTAACAAACGGAGAACACACGCCTCGCTAGAACATGAACATTGGAACACGTCTTGGTAGCTCCTGATGACGTATCTCCTAGGCAACCAGGGCGGGGCCAAGACATCAAGGCGAGGTTCCTTGAACTTGAGAAACACCCCATTCCTTTGACTATGGTGCATATCATGATTTTACTCCATCTTCTTCACTCCCGCCAGCATTTGTTTTCTATTTGTGTTGCAATAAGCTAACCAGAAGAAAACCGACACAAAAGGGCGCATGTCGCCACCTACGGTAGCGGAGTGGAACGCACTTCATTTGAGAGTTTGGTTTTCTAACATACATGTAAACTAGAATAAAGGCTTCCAATTAATTACTTTAGATCAACCTACATCGACTTAAATCGCATGTAAACACATTGACTGAAACTTCAGTTAGAAAGGTACGATCTGAACTAATCTAGAACTGTTCCAGAGGTCCCCACCATTTTGAGTTCCTCTGTGGATTGCACTGATGTAGCCAAAAGATGTAACCATATATTTAAATATAAAACTATTCTGGACATTTTGAGTGAAATATTGTCCCTATGGCCTTGTTTTATTTGTTTAACTATGTCCAACGTGGCACCAGTGCCCCTTGGTTGGCAGTTGAGCGAAAAGGAAGTCACAAAAGGAGTTTGAAGACACACTTTAGATCCGTTTCTGGTTTCCTGTCTGCTGCTGATGTAGCGACTGCCTGTAATAACTCCCAGAAAGTCTTCGTTACAGACTCAAGTCTTCGTTTACACCCTCACCTCCACTCTGTCCTCTCCCCAACGTCAAAAGCAGGACGTCTGGACTGTAATTAAAGACATTCCAGGCTTAACCTTACCCTTCAGCCCCCGGTGCTTCACCCTGACATTTCACAATCATTATGGGATATTTTCAGCCAACACTTCACGCCTCTCAATCATACATACCAAACCCTCTGAGGCCCTGTTGCTCTGCCGTCTGTTGCACGTCTTTGTGCAGATTCAAGTGCAGCGAATGAGTGTTTGTGGGAAAATAAGTGCAATATTTACAGGAAGTATGAGCGTGAAAAGTGTTTGTGGTTCATTACCTCATCCTTGTGTGGTTTTGTGCCATCATGATGCAGTCAAAATCTGCTCAAGGTGTCGAATGTGTCAATTTTACCAGAAAGGATGTCATCTGAAACCAAATAAGGGAATAGAAACCATCTACAGGCGCTGGCCAGTAAATTAGAATATCATCAAAAGGTTGAAAATATTTCAGTAATTCCATTCAAAACGTGAAACTTGTACATTATATTCATGCAATGCACACAGACCAATGTATTTCCGATGTTTATTACGTTTAATTTTGATATTTATAGGTGACAACCAATGAAAACATCAAATCTGGTATCTCAGAAAATTAGAATATTCTAAAGGCCAATGAAAAAATGTTTGTTTCTCTAATGTTGGCCAACTGAAAAGAATGAACATGAAAAGAATGTGCATGTATAGCACTCAATACTTAGTCGGGGCTCCTTTTGCCTCAATAACTGCAGTAATGCGGCGTGGCATGGACTCGATCAGTCTGTGGCACTGCTCAGGTGTTATGAGAGCCCAGGTTGCTCTGATAGTCGTCTTCAGCTCCTCTGCATTGTTGGGTCTAGCGTATTGCATCCTCCGCTTCACAATACCCCATAGATTTTCTATGGGGTTAAGGTCAGGCGAGTTTGCTGGCCAATCAAGGACAGGGATACCATGGTCCTTGAACCAGGTGCTGGTGGTTTTGGCACTGTGTGCAGGTGCCAAGTCCTGTTGAAAGGTGAAGTCTGCATCCCCATAAAGTTGGTCAGCAGCAGGAAGCATGAAGTGCTCTAAAACTTCCTGGTAGACGGCTGCATTGACCCTGGACCTCAGGAAACAGAGTGGGCCAACACCGGCAGATGACATGGCACCCCACACCATCACTGACGGTGGAAACTTTACACTGGACCTCATGCAACGTGGATTCTGTGCTTCTCCGCTCTTCCTCCAGACTCTGGGTCCTTGATTTCCAAAGGAAATGCAGAACTTGCTTTCATCAGAAAACATAACTTTGGACCACTCAGCATCAGTCCAGTCCTTTTTGTCCTTGGCCCAGGCGAGACGCTTCTTGCGCTGTTTCTTGTTCAAGAGTGGCTTGACACACGGAATGCGACACCTGAATCCCATGTCTTTCATGAGTCTCCTCGTGGTGGTTCTTGAAGCGCTGACTCCAGCTGCAGTCCACTCTTTGTGGATCTCCCCCACATTTTTGAATGGGTTTGTCGTCACAATTCTCTGCAGGGTGCGGTTATCCCTAGAGCTTGTACACTGTTTTCTACCACATTTTTTCCGTCCCTTCGCCTGTCTGTTAATGTGCTTGGACACAGAGCTCTGCGAACAGCCAGCTTCTTTAGCAATCACCTTTTGTGTCTTGCCCTCCTTGTGCAAGGTGTCAATGATTGTCTTTTGGACAGCTGTTAAGTCAGAAGTCTTCCCCATGATTGTGGTGCCTTCAAAACAAGACTGAGGGACCTTTTAAAGGCCTTTGCAGGTGTTTTGAGTAAATCAGCTGATTAGAGTGGCAGCAGGTGTCTTCTATATTCAGCCTTTTCAGAATATTCTAATTTTTTGAGATACCAGATTTGGAGTTTTCATTAGTTGTCACTTATGAATATCAAATTTAAATGTAATGAACATTGGAAATACATTGGTCTGTGTGCATTGCATGAATATAATGTACAAGTTTCACGTTTTGAATGGAATTACTGAAATATTTTCAACCTTTTGATGATATTCTAATTTACTGGCCAGCACCTGTACAAATAAGGTTGTACTCAGCAAAATCTAGGTCAAATTGCTAATATTTCTAATGTTTAAGATTAAGTTTTGTAAGCTCCTTCTGCTTGTGTGGGTTTCACTCAAGGGACAACGTCTGCCTGCCAAAAGCGAAAGCAATGCTGAAGTGACAAAAATTGCTGTTCCCTTCTCATCCACTAGGGGAAAGGAGCTAGTTCCCATTGTCTCCCATGTTAAAAAGGCCAACTTCCCAACAAAATAAATGTGTTTACAACCTGGTTCAGAAAACATTTAGGTATAATAGATAAACTCTTACGGGCATGTTTTTTTTGTAACCCATTGTTAAAATGTAATTAAAGCTTAAAATTATGAATAATTAGGGGCATGTTCTTTTGATTGACAGGTAGTAGATGAGTCGTCAGCGTAAGCAGCATGTCTTCCTGCTTTCTCCAGTGAAGGCCTTGCATTAAAAGTGTTCCACGCTAGAAACAGAGGGTAGAGTTGGTCAAGCGCGTTTATCGGCTAAAAGTGCCCGACAACCTTCGCTGGCTTCAGTTAGCTCGTAGCTACATGTGTTCAGAGTTTGTTGGGTGTCAGTCATCTGACCCCACCTTCCTAGCCCTGTTCCTAGCTCAATTGTTTTATTTTCTGGGAGTGACGAGATGCGTGATGTGGCGGGAACCGCCCACTGGGCTTCATTTCAGCTCTTCAGAAACCTATGGGTGACGACGTGGAGGGTTCATCCATTATATATGCTATCAATGGTTTCACTTCAGATACTTTGTTTTTCTCCCACAAAAGAACAAAAATACATCTGCAAAATGATCAGATGGATGAAATATTTGCAGTTTTTGGAGGAAGTTATTATCATTTATTCACTTTAGTTCATTTATAAAGTGCCAAATAACGAGAGTCGTCTCCAGGCACTTCACACAGTAAACATTCCAATACAGGTCAGTTCATTAAGCCAATCAGTAAAAAGTTTCCTATATAAGGAACTCAACAGGTTGCATCGAGTCACTGACTAGTTTCAGAGTCTTTACAGCAATCCTCATACTAAGCAAGCATGCAGCGACAGTGGAGAGGAAAACTCTCTTTTAACAGGAAGAAACCTCCAGAGGATCCTGGCTCAGTAAAAGCAGCCATCCACCACGACTCACTGGGAGTCGAGAGCAGACACACACACACACACACACACACACACACACACACACACACACACACACACACACACACACACACACACACACACACACACACACACACACACACACACACACACACTCATGAACATTAACCATAAAGTCATCTTTAAAGCTAATTAGAAACAGGATTAAATGGAATCTAATGAATGCTCGGAGTAAACAAATATCTGAAAATGCACAGTTAGCCAATGCTCTTCCTGCTGACGGTTAAGGATTTAATTTGTCATCATTGAATCATGTCTGAAATTAAATAACAGTGTCTCTAACTGCAGGATCATTTCTGTTTGTTTCAAGTGATAATTGGTTCAGCTTGTAGCCTGAGGAGAGTCGGGGGGGGGGGGGGGGGGGGGGGGGGGGGGGGCACATTGATCAGATGACAGAACCAGTTCCAACACATCAGCATGTCTGCTTTTAAACTGTTCAGAAATAACCTAATCTTGGATTTAGAGGACAAATGTATAATTTAGTCTCCATTTTGACCCTGACTGTGTTTGTGTTTCTTGCTGATACAGTGAGGGAGAGCAAGCAGGGCTTCTCTTTGGTTAATATTTAAGTTTGTTTTAGTTAAAAACAGATTAATAAGAGTAAAATCGCAGCGTGGGGTGGTTTGACTTCAGCATCACACCAATTCACTCATGGGAATGTAGCTTGGCTGTGTGTGTGTTTGTGTAGGGGGGTGGTTGCTTTCATCCCATAAATGATTGTGGTTTTAGGTCACATGAATTTTTCTTGATACTCATTAGCTACTTTTTTGACTCTGAATGTTTCTTTCCATCTTTTAATAAACAATATGAACAATTCTTGCTTTTTTAATGGACTGAAGGAAAAATCTGAGAGTGAAAAACATTAAGGCAGATGTTTACTGGGAAACGTGTAACCCTAACCCTTCACTCTGAGGGATAAAAGCTTTATGTTGTCCATGTGGGACAGAGTATTTGTCCCGAGTTCTCCAGACACAATATGGTGTTACAACCCTGCGACCATGTCCCTCTGCACGGATGGTCCTTCCACTGTTGTCTGGGAAGCCGGAGGACCCCCTCTGCAAAACGTACGCTTCCATTTGAGAAACACCAGGTGCATCTGATGCAGGAGGAGCTACTGGGTGATGTTTCATCCATCATGTCCAACAAGAGACTTGGGTCACGTGTTCAACAACTCTCCAGCAGTCTGGGATGTTTCCAAGTTCAGGGATCTGATGAAAAATTAGATAAAGAAGATGATGGTTAATAGTTGCTAAATGCTAATGAAGAGTGGTAAAAACAACCTGAACATAATATTTTCTTTCCCAGTGTAGAATGTCTGAAACATTGTAGAGCTCTCAGCAAATACATTTGAGCAATTTTACTAATTATCTTTAAATAATGACTAAAAAATGTAAAAAGAGTAATAACACTCCACCCAATACAATTATATGTTGGTCTATGGGTGCTTTGAATGATTATTGTGGTGAAATCACAATTGGTGAAGTAGAATTTGTATCCAACCTACATAATAAATAATTTTTCACAAACAGTGAAATGGGTTCTGCTCACCTGTACACAGGAAGGAAAGGACCTAATAATAATATGAACTCCTCAACTCTGCGCACATCTTGAACTGAAAGACTTTCTCCTAGAAGTCCTCTCACCTGATCTGCTGGTGCTGAGATGTTCCACGAGCTCTTCCAGTTCTGCTCCTGGCTCTGGTTTCTGTATCAGACCCTGTGAGGCTCTCATCATGAAAACTGATGTGGAAAAATAAAGAACCCATTTCACTACAAAACAAGAAGCAACAACAACATGTGACTGACAAAATCATAGGAGTTGTTCTGTCAGCAAGCTATTAGCGGTATTAGCTTATTGTCGCTAATACTAGCAGGCTACCATGCTATTTATTACTCTTGTTGATTAAAATAATCCCTAAATAAACATTTTAAAACTTTGTTACCATATGAATAAATGATTTATGTTAGACGTTTACATTGTTTATTTTTCACATACCGGTCATTCGGCCATAATGATTCATGTGAACTGGTGTTTAGCTCTCTGTTGTTCACCGTGGGAGAGCGTGTTCACATATCCGGAGGGGTGCAGCCTGAGGATTACACCCGACAAGAGGGGTGAGAGTTCTGGGACTGTGTGTGTGTAAGCTAGCTAGCTGGGCCTAGCTTGTTTCAATATTCGTTACACCACCTTTAACATGCAGGCTGAACATAAAAAGGGTTCTACCCCTATTTCCAGCAGCTGCCGAGGAAACATTCGGATTAGAAAAGTCTGACAGCATTCATGGACTCGCCCATTCTGGCTCGTGACGAGGAAGGCTGTAGTTTATTTAACGTCCAGGAAACAGCAGAGAACATCTTGGCTAGAAGAAGCTAACTGTTAGCATTAGCAACTCCACCACACGGCAGGGCTCATTCAGGCTTGTGTTATTTGTGGAGATAACAAATCAGTGTTTTATTTTTTACCAAAGAAAAAAGGCCAAACGGAGGCAGCGAAAGAGTTGTGTTGCTGTTAGCCAATCAGAGCAAAGCTGTTTGTGTCCTATTGTGAATATCAAAATCCTGCCATTTTCCACCTCTCAACCTCCTCCGACTAACTTCTACTTCCTGAAACAGGAGCACAGAGCTTTAATGGACTCACAAAGCATTTATTCATATGAGACCACAGAAGATTTATTGAAAACAAATATTGATTTCTAACTTTAACTCATAATTCATTTTGGTTTTTGTCTCTTCTTTTAGTTGTGAACCCACATGACCAGTCCTCCTCTCAGCCTCCTGGAGCCTCTGTGGCCCCCGCCTCATCAGACTTGCTGTCAGCTCCTCCTCTGAGACGGAGGAAAGAACGCCCCCAAGTCCTGAACCTCAGTGAAGCAGAGATAGTGGGCGTCCTGAGGCCCAAACCGGGACGTCTGGACAGCCCCAGCAACCGCTACGCGGGTGACTGGAGCCGCTGTGGTGAAAACTACTACCCCTCCGACATTCTGCAGCTTCCTGGCAAAGAGGAGGCGGACTACGACGACGTACCCTCAGAGGACATGGAAGTAACCACGGAGATCCACGAGAAGCAGGAGGACACAGCAGAGGGTGAGCAACAGGAGGTGGTCACAAGTTCTGTGTCAGATTCTGCTGAGCAGGAGCAGCCTCCAAGAAAGGATTTGGTGAGGGAGGAAGAAAAGGAGGAAGAGGAGGTGAAAGACGAAGAGCGGGATCCATTAGAGGAGGAGGAGCAGGATGCAGAGGAGAGAGTGTACAATCACATCCTGCCTCCTCGGCTGCCTAAGGAGCACACTTACCAGGCGTACATGAAGATCCAGGACATCAGCCCCGTGCTGAGCAACAGGGTCAACCTGAGAGACCTCCAGGAGAGCATCGACACTTTGATAGGAAACCTGGAGAGGGAGCTCAACAAGAACAAGCTCAACGTGGGATACTGACTCCTAACCAGGCCCGATGAGCTTTGGACCTGCTTTGACCATCAAGGTGCTTCTGAAACAACCACAATGTTTCCATGGAGACCCTGTGACACGCGGGGCTGGAATCAGCGCTGCTGTGATGATAGAAGAAGAAATGACACATCTGCTGGTTCTGCTTGACATATAAACATTCCATTACTCTTGTTGTCTTACTTTGTTCCTGGTTTGTTTTTGCTCCAGTTCTCTGTTGTTGCTTCTCTTCTCATTAGAAGAGCCCACTGACCCCTCAGGGGTCTACAAGGTGCCTTAATTGTGTGAAGGTGGTACGTCAAGAGGACATTCCACCTTGAAATACTACGTGCCACCTTCAGCTAGATAACATTTTAGACATTACTCAGATGATGGGGCCCTAAGAAGCAGCCGCAGATGTTGTTCCTACAATCAAATTTAACAATTTGCCTGTCTGAGTTACTAGATGTTCTGGTTGTGTCTCATTAAAACCGAACCGGATCTGACCAAATTGCTGGATTGACATCAATTATGACACATTTTCCCGCATTTATTGTGGATTATGTATCATTTGTCTTAGGGAGTCGTGTCTGTCAAGTTTTAGGACCCGGATCTGGCTGATCTTGAGTCAAACTTGAATATTTATTTGGCTGAACCAGCGGGATGCTCTTTAACCACATCATCACCAAGCAGAAGACTCGTCTTAAACACTAAAAAGGAATTGTTTCCATGCTGCTGCTACCATCTGTGTTGTAGTCAAAGTGTTGACTGAAACAAGCCAACGTTTTAGGAGAAAGGTTTTGTTTTAAGGTGGGCCTCCATTTTAACCCCTTGGATCCCAAACCCTTTCAAAATAGAATACAGACTGGAATAAATACATCAACATTTAGAAAAAAAATCAAGAAGTAAAATACTTTTTGATAAATCTATGGTGAGGGTGTCTCTTGGAGTCGTCAAACTTCAACATATGAGTCTAGAAGCATGTGGCTGATGCTTGAAATGGGTGGTGACACCAGTGTCACCACAGGTGCTTGAGGGTTAAGGCAACAGAGTTTTTATTTTGATGTATAAAAAATAATTGTACAACATTAATGCACTTATTAGCGGATTGTTATTGTAGTTCATACCTTATGGTGATTCTGCGATACAAGGCAAGTGAAAAACCTGAAACCTCTGATAAATAAAAATGTGTTTTTGGTATTTTTAGGCACCCTGTTAAAGGCTTAAACGCCTGAAATGTGTTTGATCACTTATGTGATCTCTAAGTTAGATGAGAACATAGAGGCCATTTTTGTCTTTAAATAAATAAAAGCTGTATTAAGAAGACAGTTAGCTTAGCGTAGCCTAGCCTAAGACCTGGATGAGGACAAATGGCTAGCTTGGTTGTGTAAATTCTGTTTTCCTTCATTTTGTTGGCTATATCCAAATTCAGGGGCAGCATCCTTTTAAGGACCCTACCTATTTAGTCGTATTGGGTCTAGTTCATCGCTAACTTTAATGACAGGAAGTGTATGGCTGTGAATTTAGACGTTCTAGCCTTGATCATTGACATGATTATGTTGACACCCCATTGGACGCTGGAGAGCGTAATAGCCTTATTGGATGGGTCTCCTCACTCTGCAAAGTCAATGCAGAGTGAGCAACTATGTTCGTTTCAACCGGCATACGACAGATCACGTGGGATTCCTATCGACTTTTCAAGCCTACCTGATGGGATTTTATGAGAAGGCTTAGGATGTGATTTTTTGAGAAGGCTTGATAAAATGTGTTTTGTAGTTGGGTAAGCACCTTCTTGATTAGCAATGAATGCACTGGGGGCAAATGGAGACCCATCTAAGATGGAGGCCGGCCACTATGGCAGCTCCGATAGACTGCGCCAGTCCATGGGACGTCTGTGTATACATGTCCTCAGCATAGCTCCTGTTGCCTAGAAACCGCAGCCGTGCGAAACGGGTGTTACAACTAAACTTGGAGGTAAGACATAAAGAACTGCAGGACTCCCTATACAAGCGCATTTAAGAAGATTTTCCTTCAGATTTGTTTTACTTTACAGTAACAATAATTATTGCGAAAACAACACAATCGTTTTAACCTTTTGATTTATCCACTGCTAGATATTGAAATACGTGCATTAAAAACTGTAACCCTCCCCCATTTTTTTCCGCCATCATTCACAAGAACGAAAGCCTCCCAGTGAGCCGGCATTGTATCATGGGATAGCGTGGGTTAGCAAAGATACACCAGACCTGTCCTTGTGGGCCACATTTTGAGTAGCCTTCAACATCGAACAGCCTTCTCTGTGACGTCAACCTTAAAATGCGTCCTTGGAAGGATGCAGCCCCCTGTTCTACGCTTTGCTAAAATAAGCTAATGAGATGTTCATCTGGTCTTCTACAGCAGAAAGACAAACAAGCTAAAAGTTTAATAAAACCAACGACGTGAAGCACATTTTTCTGACAGGATCTCAACCAGTTAGCATGACTTAGCTTGCTGCCTAAAGCGAAACAAAAATGGAGGTTTTCAGCAATCCAGGGATTCTAATTGAACAGTATTTAAACTATATGTGTATATAATTATATAAATATATATTGGGAGTGTATTATTATTTTTACAGCTTATGTTTCAGTGGCGTATTTAAATACTTCTGATGACCTTGTAGTGTTGACTCATCCCCCCATCGAGCTACCTGTACAGACCGTAACGTGTTGGATTAATGGTACCAGTATAGCTGTAAAATATATATTGCAGGTGAAGTGATTTTGTCCTTTTTGTTACTTTTTGTGTACATATTTGACATTTCGTGTCTCTTGTGGACTACGCTGTGTTGTTTTTGTTAAAGGTACTGGTCAAAAAGCTTTACTGGCTTTAGCAAGGCTCTGTCTCATCAGCCATTGTATTTTATATTTATGTGTAAAATAAAAATTTATTACGTTTGCTCGTTTCTTGGACCCCGTTCTTGTTTAAATGGATGATTGCATTGTTGCAGTTTTCTTCCAAAGAATGAACAGGCACAAGGTTTTTTAAAACAGGAGCATGGCCAAAAAGCCATCGTTTAAATCACACGATTAGCTCTATCAAATTTGAATCTTGACTTGTTTTGTTAGCAATTTTAATTGAAATGCTTGTGCATTGCATGAGAAAAGTTTAAAGTTATTAGAAAAACCCAAGTGGTGGTTGCAAAACGTTTTGTGAATCTTCTGATTCAGCTGTTATATCTCTAACTTAAAACTGAAATTGTTTCAGTAGTAGGATAAACTCAGTTTGAATTGTTTTTTGTTATATATTTTTCTCAGATGGTCCACGTCCTGCCTTGCTACTTGGTGTTTGTGTTTGATTCTGCTGCTTCATCGGGAAGCGGGGGCAGCTGCTGAGTGGATCTACTAAAACTGAGCTTCAGCAGGAAACCTTTCAAACCATCTGCACAGAAAACACAAACATGAGCCAGCGCCTGGTGCCTAAATATCATCGTGGAAGATCAGTGAAGAATTCGTAGGGTTTTTTATGAGCAGGTTGTGTTTTGAATCTCGAAAGCATAATATCAGGCTCCCTATAGGGGTTAGGCTCCTTATTGCCCACCACCTATTTATTGTTTTTTTCGGCAGAGACACTGACATTACTGCCAGCTTATGATAAGGTTCAAGTTTCATTCTCCATCTTTACAGGTTTGATTACTTAGTCCAAGAAATAAAATGATTTCTGCCGTGAAACCTTTGAGAATGGTAAATCTTTATTGCTCTGTGAGCACCATTCCACTCTGAACACTCTGAGTTCATTCATAAAAACACATCCCTGTTATTTAGATTGTGGCTCAGTAACACAAACAGTTGGTGGAACGACTTTCCCAAGCTGTTCCAAAGATGGCCGTTGTTCACTGAAGATTAAAGATCATTTTTACTCCAAGAATTGTTTTTTTTTTTCCCAAGACTCCCCCCCTGCTGTGGACAGGCTGTAAACCAGACTCTGGCGGGAGGAATTGCCTTCGCTGGCTTGTGGGAATCTCCCAGAATGACTTTTAGCTTCTGGGACATTCCCAGCATGCAGCTGCTTTTTGAGCATAAAGAAAAAAAGAGTTCTATGAACTTTTAGCGCCACTCCTCAAAACAATATTTTTAAGCTGTGTAACAGGATTGTAACCTTATTATATAACATTAGATATTGTACGACATAAAAAATACTAATTTTTTTTCCAAATGTTCCATGAAAAAGGGACCGAGACCTCTTGTTGATACAAATCTCTGGAAAATAACATGAGGGGTGAACGACGCCAGAGCTCTTTCAGCAACAAATGGTTTTCAGTTCCGTTTGATGTCACTTCAGAGGGTCGGAACTGTGTTATTTTTTTTTTATGGCTATACTTATCAGATCCTGTCAAAGGAAGCTTTGGGAAGCAGAAAGCACACGTACCTGTCTGCACTGCACAGCTTGTTTATGCTCCCACATCCACTTTCCTCAGAAACCATCCAGACTGGAGTATATGCGCAAACCAAGCCACAAACACCCTCACCAGCAGTCTGAGAATGTATATAATCATTCAAGCTGGGAATAACTTTCCCGTCACTCTTAAAAGTTATTTTTGGGGTCTTTTGTGAGGCCTGGGTGGAAAATGATCCAATCCAGATGAAATATTTGTTTATAGTTTTTACGTTTTGTGTCTAAACATCAGGTGCTGGATCCAAACGAGCCATTTTAAACATCTCTTTCGTCCATCTTTGACTTCGATTGTCTCTCCGTTCCATCAAAAGCACGAGTGAAATCCATGATGGAGACAGAGACAGACATAATAACACCGTCAGGGTTGCTGCTCCACATCAGCCGGTCTCAGTGAGGGAACTGAATTGAACTTTTGTTCATTTCTAATTTGGGAGAGGGGAGATATGAGGCTTGTTAAGTAAACATCCTTGACAGCCACCTGCATGTGAAACCAGACCTTTTCTCCTCTGCTTCTGCTTCTTCTCATCCTCTCCCATAATCTCTGCTGACCTTTGAGTCAGCATGGCTGCAAGTCAACCGGCCAGGCGCACAACACACAGCCTTTGTTTCACCTTCAGCGGTGTACGGCGTTCACCATGCCGAAGGGAACGTGTGAGGATGGGACATCAAAAGAGTTCTGAACAAGCTCAGAGCAGATGCAGACAGAGGGACCTGATTCATGCAACTTTTTTGGTGGTATTGAAGATGAGTTGTGAGTGAATGTAAATAAGTGAAAATATCAAATCTCCAGGTACTACAAGCTTTATATTGTCTTTATAACCACAACCAACACGAGTGGTTTTTAAATCATTTCAAATAAAATTGTTGACTAACGACCTGGCTTACGCACATTTTGGACATGGAGAGCACCTGCAGTGCTGCTGCTGAGAAGGATAAAATTATGAAATCCTGCAGCATTATCACTTGTACTGCTTCGTTTTCACACAGAACAAGACCCCCCACACACACGCGCACGCACACATGTGCGCACACTCACACACACGCGTGCACACACACACACACACAGCCTGAAGTGCAGAATACGGAATGCAGAATATCAGGAGGGGGACAGATTGTCATGTGTCTGTGACAGTGTGTGTCCTGTCACTGTGACCCAATTGATCATGTGCCCTGGCTACTTGTACAGGGGAGATCTCCATTTGGCTGACTGGTTGGCGCATGTGACTGTCACCTGGGAGTCTTGGGATCAAATCCCGATTGGACTGTTGTTTTATATCCGCCACAGATCTCTCTGAAGAACTCACAACATTGACGGCTTCAGCAACGCTGTGCCACTCCGTGGATTTTCTCTTATTTGTTTGGCAAAAGCACTTCCTATCATTTCTCCACCTCACCCACAGGTACCTCAACTTCTGCTTCTGTGAAATTGTGCTTCCTTGATCTTCCTTGATCTATGGTCGCCATTGTCATTGTTGGAGCGCTGCAACAACCGGCTTATGTATATGCATGAGATCCACAAGGCACTTTGCATTGACTATTTGGTGAGGGCAGGATGTGACTAAAAAGCAGCTGAGAACGTTTCTAGATAGTTTCTGATTTATGAAGCGGAGATTGCGTGCAGCTGTGCGTACTCCATGTTTGATAGATCACAAACCTATTTGGCGTAAGTACTTTTTTTTTTTTGCTGAGCTTAAGTACGGTTTTAGTAAGGATTCTACGCAAAGTTTGATAAATGAGACCCCAGTTCAGTACAACACCCACAAAACCAGTCTGCCTACCAACCTCGTGGATCTGTCCCTCAGTCATGAACAAGACTCTGAGATAATTAAACTCCTCCACTTGGGGCAGAACCTTGTCTCTGACCTGAAGGTCTCGGATTTAGAGGAGCTGATTCTCATCCCAGCTGCTTCACACTCAGCTGCAAACCGCTCCAGCTGGAGATCACGTTCTGGTGAAACAAACAGGACCACATCATCTGCAAAAAGCAGAGACCTGATCTTTAGGCCACCAAAATGGGCTTTACGTCATGACTGTAAAAACAAGAGTTAGAATATAACGAGTTTCCTTCGTCGGGTGGCTGGGCTCAACCTTACCCCTCATCTGAGCTGAATGCAGAACGGAGGCGGTCCAGCTTCCAGGCAAACTGCCATTCACACCGACTGTGATTCATGTGCTGAATGTCTCTGGATATCTGCTCCCACAACAGCACTGAATGCAGGGGCGGATTAAGGACTGAAGAACATCCGGGGCTTAACACACGCACACACACTCGCGCGCACACACACACACGTGACACGCGCTAGTCAACATCACAGTCTTGTACCACATAATTTTTAATCTGAAGCTACATATTAAGCATTTTCAGGGCAGAGTATTGTTCCTGTTAGTGTTTAGTGTGAGATGATAGTAAATATTCCCGTTCTTTCTCCAACAACTTTACCTGATAAGCTAACTTTAGGCAAACCAGCAGCACAACAAATATTTTCAAATAAGACTCACAAACCTGAGCCAACACCAGTCTCATCAAAGCTGGGGTTCTGTCGCCGTACTTTTGGTCTAAAAAACGTCCTTATGTCCATCTTCACTCATGCGTTTCAGGCAGAGAGTGTAGAAGAAGCTGGCTGCTGAAGGGCTTCTTCTTCAGTGGTGGAGGCTCAGGCAGGCTGTATACAAACTACTGCCAGCTGCTCCCTCTCTGTTGGACTTTGGTACTGCATGTTACTTCCGCGATTTAGATCCGGGGCTTTCCATGAAACATCCGGGGCTTCAGCCCAAGTAGCCGGGCCTAACGCCGCCCCTGACTGAATGATTAGAAATTTGACACAATGCATTTAAAAATATGACTAAAACTGACATGAGCTGCCACTGTGAGCTGATTTCCTCATCATTAATAATAAATCAAAGGCCAGAAAAAATGAAGCAACAAAAGTTTTTCTTTTGAAATGCTCGCATAAACAGGTCTCACTTCCTGTCTGGTTCGTGTAACTTCTTTAACTTCATGACATTCTGCACGTGGCATCCAGAAAAAATAGACTCCATGTGGAAATTTTCCAGAGCTCTGCAGACGGGTCCACACTGCACCACAGCCAGTGTGAATGCTCTGATTGGACTCAATGACTTTTGGTCAACGCGGAAGCCGTACAAAAATTAGAGCGCGTCTGTTTTACATTCGGTGTGAATGAGGTTTTGGAGATAGAGCATGGAGCTCAATCATCCGGGAGAGACTTGAGCCTCTTTCGTGATCAGATGGTCAGACTGCTACCTGGACAACTCCCATGAGGAATTCTACTGTTGTGTCCTTGGGCAACACACTTCACCCTCCTTGCCTGCTGGTGGTGGTTGGAGGGACCGGTAGTGCCTGTGTTTGGCAACCTCACTTCTTTCAGTGTGGTCCAGTGCAGCAGTAGATAAATTATGATTCATCACCACCAGTGTGTGAATGGATGTGACTGGTTCGTTGATGTGACCAATAGGAGCTGGCTCCCTCTTGGAGGAGCCGGAGG